TTCTAGCGGATGCAATAAAGCAAGAGAAATAAACAAAAGACATAAGAAAGGAAAAAATGTAAAAACTTTGTCAGATTCATAGATGACAAAATTACACAGCAAATTCAAAAGAATCCACAGGTAAACTATTCAATTTATAAGTAAATTTAACAAAATTGCGGAGCTGAAATGAAACAGGTGCGTATCTAAGAAGTAAATAATTAGAGAATGAAATTTTAAAACTAAGATGTAAAAATAAAGATAATGAAATATGTACATGGCTTCTATAATGTAAATTAACAAGTATTATTAAAAGAAATTAAAGAAGACTTCAAAATGGGAGGATATATCATATTCATAAATTTGAACTTCAAAACTGTAAATTTATTACTTGTCCACAAATTGATCTACTGAGTCAACAGAAACTTAATACAAATTCAAGTAGGATTCTTTATGTGGAAATTGACAAGTTGATTCTAAATTTTATATGGTAATGCAAAGGGCCAAGAATCACCAAGTAAATCTCGAAGATGAACATAGTTAGAAGATATATGCCACCAGATATCAAATCTTAATGTAATGTGATAGTAATTAAAATTTTAATGCAGGACTATAGTTTATTTGCCATTATAGTATGGCAGATAAACTAATGTATGGCAAATAAACCAATGAAACAGAACCTCTCTGGAATGAGAGCCACATATAAGGTCACCTGACTTATGGTCATGGTGGTATCACATTGTAGTATGCGAGGAATAGTCTTTTTAATAAATGATATTAGATCAATTGCCTATCCATAAGAAACAGGGCTTTGTCACCTGGGCTGCAGTGCAGTGGCACCACCATAACTCACTGAAGCCTTGAACTCCTGTGCTCAAGGGATCCTCCCACCTCAGCCTCCCAAGTAGCCGGGACTATAGGCATGTGCCACTGAGTCTAGCTAATTTTATTTATTTATTTATTTTTGTAGAGACAGGGTCTCAATTTGCTGCCCAGGCTGGTCTTGAACTCCTGGCTTCAAGCAATCCTCCTGCTTTGGCCTCCCAAAATGCTGTAATTATAGACATGAGCCACCTCACTTGGCCCAACTGCTCAAGTAGAATAGAAAAAGCAGTAACTGGGGAAAAAAAAAGACTCATAAATTGAATATTATTAAAATGTAGAACTTTCATAACCAAAAGACATTAAGAAGGAAAAAAGAAAAGTCATAGCCTGAAAGACAATATTTGTGTTACATTTATTAGAAAACATGAGAATATTTAAGAACTTCTACAAAACAATAAAACAGTAGACAAACTAGTAAATAATAGGCAAAAGTTTGGAATAGGCAGTTCGCAAACATATGAAAAGGTACTCAAGATCATCAATGACATACAACGTAATAATAAAGAAGACCCAACAATCCTTCATGCAAAAACAAAAATGACTCTTCCAAATATAACATTGAGATGAAGCTGGACACAAAAGAGTACCTATTTTTTGATTCCTTTAATATAAAATTTAGGAAGCGGCAAAACTATTAGTGTTATAAATCAGAATACTGGTTATTTTGGGAAGATAACTGGGAAAGGGCATCGGGAAGGCTTCTGGGCTGCCGATAGTGTTCTATATCTTAATCTGAGTGCCTTTTACATGGATGCGTTTACTTTGCAAAAATCCATTGAACTGCATAATTAAGATGTGTGCACTTTACTATATATATATGTTATACTTCAGCGAAAAGTCTACATGGTACAGGAAAATTGTTGCGGGGGGGAAAAAAAAGACCTCCCAACAAAGTAAACTCCAGGCCATATGGCTTTTCTGGTGAATTCTTTTTAAAGAAGAAATAATACCAATCTTATATAAACCCTTACTAGGAAACAAATATATGAAACACTACCAGCTGACTTTATAAGACTGTCATAAGTTTGATATCAAAATCTTATTAAGGACATTACAAGAAAGAAAATTATAGTCTAATCTCTCAAATATGTTAGGAATGGGATGATGAAAGTGCTCTGGAATTAATTAGCAGTGTTGGTTGCCCAATGTCTTAGTCTATTTGGGATGCTATAACAAAACAGTATAAACTGGTTAGCTTGTACACAGTAGAAATTTATTTCTCATAGTTTTGGAGGCTGGGGAGTTCAAGACCAACACTGGCAGATTCAGCATCTCCTCCCATGGCAGGAGGGCAAAAGGAGTTCTTCTGGGCCTCTTTTATTAGGATGCTAATCCCATTTGTGACAGCTCTGCTCTCACAACCTAATCATCTTTGAAAGGCCTCATTTCCTAATGTCATCACCTTCGGGGTAAGGATTTCAACATATGGATTTGGGGTGGACTCAAACGTTCAGACCGTAACACACAACTTTGTGAATGTACTAAATACCACTAAGTGGTATAATTTAAAAAGGTAACTTTTATGATACATGAATTATATTTTAATAGAAACATCTAAAATGTATCATAAAAGCATATTTGCCATATATAAAATGATTAAATATTATGACCGAGATGATTTATTTTAAGAATGTAAAATTGAAATTCGAAATCATTTGCCTTTGAAAAATGTACTTAAAACAATTTGTTACATTAACAGAAAAAGAGAAACAGATATGGTTACATCAATATATGTAACTAAAGTGTTTGATAAACTTCAACATGATTCAAATACCAAAAATTTTTTTTAACAATGAAGAATATAAGATAATTTCCTTATTTCAAAAACGGTTATCTACAAAAAGCCTACAGTAGACACCAGCTTAATGGTGAAATGTTTTAAACTTTAACTTTGAGATGTGGAACAAGACAAGGATGGCATCTATTGGTACCAATGTTCAATGTTATACTGGTGGTCCTAGCCAGTGTGATAAAGAAGAAAGAAAACAAGGAAATAAGGAAGGAGGGAGGGAGGGAAGGAAGGAAGGAAGGAAGGAAGGAAGGAAGGAAGGAAGGAAGGAAGGAAGGAAGGAAGAGAGGGAGGGAGGGAGGGAGGCAGGGAAAGAAAAAAAAGAAGACAAAGAGTTAAATAAAATTATAATTATCTGGGGGTTTTGTACAGTGTCAACCAGGCCAATTCGGAATTAAGTTTTCCAGACTTAGTTTCTCTGTATGGTTCTGGACTAGGGTTACAGCATGAGAAATTAGCCGATATTTGAGAGGCAGAAGTTAAGCAACAGCCATTCCACTCTGAAGATCATCTTTGGATAAAGCTGGTGAGGCCCAGTGCAGGAGTGGAGGGTTCAAAAGATAGACCTTTTACCAGAGGCTTGAGGAATACATTCACATGGGGAGTTTCAGCATCCTCTGTGATGGCTCATTCTCTGTGGGGCAGGAACGACAATGGGAACTGTTGCCATTGAACTGGGTTCTCTGAATTCACTTGGGGATCAAAGGACCTCAGGGTGGCAGAGTCCAAGTGGCAGCACTTAAATGCCAGAGACAATGGGGGTTCTTGTAATGGATATTAGAGCTGAAACAGCAATCAGAATGATTTGACTGAAGAGAATATTGTTACAGGGCTAATTGATCATGGAGTCTCTGAAACTGAAGTAGATGGATAGCTGACTAAAGTGTTTCTTGATGTGTATAAGCGGAAGAGATTTAAGTCAAGTGAATAAGAGTCTGACTTGAATTACTGCAAAAGAAGTTCATTGTTCATCAACAATTCCTAGACTTGAACAGTTTATAGACCCAGAGAAGCACAAACGGATGGGAGACTGGATCCTTTTGAGGAAGCACCTGGTATCTTCCCCTAGGCTTCTCCAAGAAGACTTGGAGTCATTTACCAGGATTTGGATATAGAGAGTTTACAGAACTAGAAACAGAGATAAAAACATAGATATAGGTATAGGTGTATTATTATATTTTTGTTTTCTCTATTTTACCATTTTTTCATATTTCCAAGAAAATTTCTATTCCAATTCCATGTTATCTTATTATAGATTTCAAGTAAGATGAAAGGTTTCCCAATTTGTTTTACAAAATAACAAAATTGTTTCTTAAAGTGGATAAACAGCAATAAATGTGTGACCAATGTCATTTGTAAATTTAGATTCTGAAGCTCATAAACTTTCTAGTAAAAGGAACATTTTTAAATGCCAAGAAGAAAAGAAGACAAGTCCCCAAGCTATCTAAAGAGAACAGTAAGACAAAGATGTTATACACTATATTTCACTGAGCCTCAGCCTGGCCCTCCACTACATAGGTGTATTACTTTTTAATAAAATGAGATCTTGCCATATATGCCATTCATCTGATTCTTTTTCCACATAAAACACATCTCTTTCTAGTCATTAAGTGCTTCTTTATGCTATCATTTTTTATGGCTGAATACCATGCCAGTGTATGGATATACTTTTTTCCATTCTGCGTAGCTATTTTATGTTTCTTAGGGAATTCTTTATAGTGATCATTTGAACACATCTTTTTCTTCCTAGTAGATTATTTCCAAATCATAGTTTAAAATATTTAGGTTGCTTTAACATTTTAACTAATATAAATGATGCTGCAATGAAAAGTTTATACCAAACTGCTTTAAAAAGTGTGTGATTATTTTGTAAGTATAAATTCTAAGAAGTAGGTTAAAATATATGCCCATTTCTAAGGTTAATAGTGCATGGTGCCTTTCGAGAGGATGTGTTGACCTCGTGGTACGTGAGAGTCCAGGTTCTTCCACAGCTTCACTAACCTTGAAGAGAATAAATGTTAAAAATCTTTACTGATTTGCCAAGCAGGATGATTATTATACTGGAGGTGGTAGAACCACCATAATTTCAAATTTATTGAAGTAGAATCAAGTTTGAAGGCTTTTATGTATTTAAGCCCCCAGAATTAGAAAAGACACATCCAAGGATAAGGAAGAACTTAAGCAAAGAGTTGCTAGGAACCCCGTAGGAATATTCGAGAACATTACCGCTGTCTTCAGCCATGTGAAGGACAGATTGCACAGAAGGAATTCGGTTAAGGTTTTTATTATTCCAGAGAAAAATTAGAATGTATCAGTAAAAGAAATAGGAAGGGATATTTCAACTCACTCTCACAAATAGGTGTTTCATTATCCCAAATGACAGTATTGCCTGAGACGATGCATGTGGCAGACGAGGAACCAATGAGTCGGTGTCTAGAGGCAAAAAATAAGGAATGTTAGGTTCCAAAGACACAGGTCAACTATCCAATTAAATTACTACTTCCAGAGTTTACACTGTTACAGAATTCAGAGGGACACTTTCCACTTGTCAAAGGATTATCTGTTACCTTCCCAAGTTTCACATTCTTGTTGGGACTTTTGGACTTTCTTTTTCTTACCTTCTCAATTGGATGAGCTTTCTCTTCTTTATTACCTTATGACAGTTTTTTATGCAAATCTAAGATGAATTACAGTTTTTCCTACACATTTCATTTTTTAACAGATAACACAAACTTCTTGAGTGCAGAGAAGCTGCCATATATATACATGTATATGTGTGTGTATATAGTCGTGTTGCATGTATTTCTTTGCCTTAAAAGTGTGAATGTATGGATGCATGGATGGGCTTTTGTCAACAAGATTCATCAAAGAAGGCCAAAATAGGCCATTCACAGTGGCTCACCCCTGTAATTCCAGCACTTTGGGAGGCTGAGGCAGGAGGATTGCTTGAGCTCAGGAGTTCAAGACCAGCCTGGGCAACACAGTGAGGCACTGTCTCTATAAAAAATTTATAAAAAATCCAGGCATGGTGGCACATTCCTGCAGTCCTAGCTACTCAGGAGGCTGAGGCAGGAAGACTACTTGAGCTGGGGAGGTTGGGGCTGCAGTGAGCGCTGATCATGCCACTGCACTCCAGTCTGGGCAAAAAAGCAAGACCTTGTTTCCAAAAAAAAAAAAGAAAAAAAAAAGGAAAGAAAAAGAAAGAAAGAAAGAAGGAAGGATGGAAAGAAAGAAAGAAAGAAGGAAAGAGAGAAAGAGAAAGAAAGGAAAGAAAGAGAGAGAGAAAGAAAGAAAGAAAAAGAAAGAAAGAAAGAAAGAAAGAAAAAAGAAAGAAAGAAAAAAAGAAAGAAAGAAAGAAAGAAAGAAAGAAAGAAAGAAAGAAAGAAAAGAAAAGAAAAGAAAGTAGCAGGTGAAAGAAAAAGGAAAGAAAGAAAAGAAAAAAGTAGTGAAAGAGCAGAGCAGCAGCAGCAGTGGCAGCAGAAAGCAGCAGCAGGAGGTTGCAAGGCAAGGAAGTACAAAGTACAATGAAGGAGGGTACAATAACACACATGAAGGCACATACACACAATAATGGAAGGGATTCTGTAATTAGAAGGTAATAAACTAGCTATTAGAAAGAAAGAAAGAAAGAAAGAAAGAAAGAAAGAAAGAAAGAAAGAGGAAGGAAAGAAGGAAGGAAGGAAAGGAAGGAAGGAAGGAAGGAAGGAGGGAAGGAAGGAAGGAAGGAAGGAAGGAAGGAAGGAAGGAAGGAAGGAAGGAAGGAAGGAAGGAAGGGGATTCGTAACTAGAAGCAAAGGAAATCCAGGCTGACCAAAAAGAATTGAGCACTCATTTTATACTTAAAATATTAAAGTCAGCAATTCTCAATTAGTATATCTCAAACTGTTCAAAGTGTGCCATAAATGTGGAATAATTTATGACATTTATTTTACGTCACCTTAGACTCTGTTGTGATAGATGGTTGGGTGAAACTAGTCATAGTGAGGGTAGGGTCAAACTTGATAGTACTATACATGAAGGAATGAAGCAATATCAACTAACAGTCGTGGTTATTGGTTTAGCAGAGAACTTTGCTTTATGAGTATGTAAGAAAACCTGGCAACATAAAGCTTTATTCAAACAACAAAACAGTGCCAAATGGAGATCAAATAAATAGCGAGACAACAGTGGGTGCTTCTGAAGACACTTGATGCACCGTTGCATTATAGTAGTGATTTATGATGTACTTATTAATGACTTCAATATCATTTTGTTGTTGTTGTTGTTGTTATTTTTTTTGAGACAGATTTTCACTCTTGTCGCCAAGGCTGGAGTGCAATGGTGCGATATCAGCTCACTGCAACCTCCACCTCCCAGATTCAAGAGATTCTCCTGCCTCAGCCTCCTGAGCAGCTAGGACTACAGGTGCCTGCCACCACACCTGGCTGATTTTTGCATTTTTAGTAGAGATGGGCTTCACCACGTTGACCAGGTTGGTCTTGAATTCCTGACTTCAACTAATCCGCCCACCTTAGCCTCCCAAAGTGCTGGGATTACAGCCAACACACCCGGCCTCATTTTGTTTTTTAATGCTTTCTAGTATACCACCAAAAATGAAATCATTTTCGATTGCACTGCCAACAGACATACACACAAGTATGAAGTATGTGAACAAATGAAGTGAAGAAGGGATGCAATCCTATATGTGCGCCTCCTTCTGTCTATTTGTCTTAGGAATAAGGGATCCTGGAGACTCCTCTGGCTTTTGACCTCACTGAGGCTATTTCTCAAAGTGTTCTTTTTGATTTTCTAATCACGGGGGTTGGGATAGGAATGGTGAAGCAAGTTCAAATTTAAGTTGGCATTTTTTTTCTTCCATATTATTGTTCAGTGCTGTAGTACTGAACATTTTAAATATGAGTCAAAAGATAACTTTGTGTTCACTGATCAATGGGAACAGATAGAAAAATATTTTAATTTATTAAACTTGTCCCTCAAAGTAGATTAAGCGACTGAACAAATAATAGTTTGAACACCTCTCATTCAGAATGTTTATGAGGAAGTAAAGCAGAGAGATGAAATTCATGCTACTTATTGTAAGGGAAGCTCTCATATCCATTTGAACAGATTGAAGCCTTTATATCCTACCCTATCTTTTTGGATCTCCTGGGGAAGAAAGAGTTGTGGATTCACAAAGTTAAGCCATGGTTCAAGAAAAGCCATGATCATTTCGTTGCCAGAAACCACATACAGCATGTGGGTAAGCATGTCTAGACTTTTGGGAGTCTCCTCCCCAGAGCCCGAAGAGGGACATTGAAGCCTGAGATATTAGTCCCATTTCCATTTTCCTTCTTAATCTATGTGCCTTGAACCAGGTGGATGGGTTAGGAAAAAAATGAGAATAAAAAACAAATTTTGCAAATTATTTAGGTTAACACATTTTCTTTTTTTCTTTTTCTTTTTCTTTTTTTTTTTTTTTTGAGACGGAGTTTTGCTCTTTTTGCCCAGGCTGGAGTGCAATAGCATGATCTCGGCTCACTGCAACCTCCACCTCCCAGGTTCAAGTGATTCTCCTGCCTCAGCCTTCTGAGTAGCTGGGAGTACAGGCATGCACCACCATGCCTGGCTAATTTTTTATTTTTAGTAGGGACAGGGTTTCTCCATGTTGGTCAGGCTGGTCTTGAACTCCCGACCTCAGGTGATCCGCCCGCCTCGGTATCCCAAAGTGCTGGGATTACAGGCATGAGCCGCTGCACCCAGCGGTTAGCATATTTTCAACCTTAAATAATGAGATCCAGAAAATATATTTAAGGATAGAGTTTATTTGAGCACAAAGCTTAAAGGTAGCCACATGGAAGACTCCAACTCCGAATGAATGGGGTCAGCATTCCAAAGTGGAGGATGTACAGTATCACTGATATAGGCAGAGAGAGAGAAATTTTAGCAGGATTATATTTTCCATATGGGACCATGAGTAGTTACAGCACTTTGATTTGTTACAGATTGCTACGTTCCAAGGAAGATTACTTTATTGCTCCCCGAAAAGGGGTAGTGATCTGAGGGGAATCCCATCCCCTTGGAAATATAGTAGGAACTTAAAAAAAACTTTTTATTTTGAGATAATCAGATTCACATGCAGGGTATAGTCCAGAGAGATCCCAGGTACACTTTACTCAATTTTCCCCTAATAATAACATTTTGCAAAACAATAGTGCAATATCAACGTTAAGATATTGACATAGTTCTAATCCACACATTTTGTTCACATTTCCTGTTTTACCTGTACTTATTTGTGTGCATGTATGTTTATGCACATGTGCCTATGTATTTATGTCTATGCAGGTTTAAAAAATAGACTTTGTGTTTTAGCACAGTTTTTGGTTCACAGCAATAATGAACAGAAGATACAGAGATTTCCTATGTACTCCCTGCCCCTACACATGGATAGCCTCGCCTATTATAAACATCCTTCACCAGGGTGGTACATATTTTTTGCAACTGATGAACTTACACTGACACATCATGGTCACCCCAAGTCCATAGTTTATATTAGGGTACACTCTTGGTATTGTACACTATATGACTTCGGATAAATTTATTATGACATGTGCCTACTGTTATGGCATCATACAGAGTAGTTTCACTACCCTCAAAATCCTCTGTGCTCTGCCTCTTCATCCCTGCTTCTTCCCTAACCCCTGACAACCACTGATCTTTTCACTGTCTCCATAGTTTTTCCTTTTCCAGAATGGCATATACTTGGAATCATATGTTATGTAACCTTTTCAGATTGGCTTCTTTTACTTAGTGGCAGGGAAAAAAGATTCACTATTTAAGGTTCCTCTATGTCTTTCCATGGCTTGATAGCTCATTTACTTTTTGGTATTGAATAATATTCTATTGTATGGATGTACCACAGTTTATCCATTCCCTTGCTAAATGACATCTTGATTGCTTCCAAGTTTTGGCAATTATGAATAAAGCTGTTATAAACATCTGTGTGCAGAATTTTTTTTTTTTTTTTGGTGTGAACATGAGTTTTCAATTCCTTTGGATAAATACCAAAAAGGATAACTGCTGGATAATATTGTAAGAGTATGTTTAGTTTTATTAAAAAAAACTGCCAAATTCTCTCTCCAAGTCATGGTACCATTTTGCATTCCTACCAGCAATGAATGAAAGTTGTATCCCCCTCACTCCCGAAATATATGGATGTCTTAATCCGCAGTGCTTATTAATGTGATCTTATTTGGAAATGTGGTCTTTGGAGAGGCAATCCAGTTAAGATGAAGTTGTTAGTGTGGGTGTTAATCCAATATGACTGGTGTCCTTATTAAAAGAGAGAACTTTGGACACAGACATACACAGACAGGAGAACAGCATGTGAGGACAGAGATCCAGAGGGAAGACAGCCATGTGAGGACAGAGACAGAAACTGGGGTTCTGCTGCCACATGCCAACGAAGGCCTGGGGCTCCAGAAGCTGGAAGAAGCAAAGAAGGATTCATCCTTACAGGTTTTAGAGGGAGCATGGCTCTGCCAACACTTTGATTTTGCACTTTCAGTCTCCAGAACAGAACTCCAAAAACTTCATTGGTATTAAGCCACCCATTTTGGAGTACTCTGTTACAGCAGCCCTAGCAAACTACTTGTGCTATGACCATTAAGATTTCTCTCACACAGCTACTCAATGTTCTTCCTTTTTTCCCAGCAATGTCTACTCTGGGTTAAGGCTGTTTGTGTGCTTTGACTGTACTCTCCCCCATTTTCATCCTTCCCACCCAATGAATGTCACACTTTTCATATTTGCACAGCCTTGGTTTCCAGCAAGGATACAGATGATTTTCCCCTGATCTTGTCATACTTTTGCTCATTTCAGTCAGGAGCTAAACACCTGTGTTGAAGCCTTTAAAGAGCAGATGGTAATAGCTTAGTTGTCCTTTCTGAGATGTGACTAGAAGGTAGTATGGCTGTGCTAGAACTCTTGAACCAAGAGATGTTACTGCCAACTCACCCTTCAGTACAAGAATAATTAATTTGGGATCCGAACTGGATGTCTTTGATCACATGCACCATGCCATTCACAGGATCTTTAGGATTATGACATGATTTACCTACAGGAAAGAAACAGAAAGAAACAGAATTATGACATGATTTACCTACAGGAAAGAGCCAAGTAGAGTAAACTGAAAATTTTTTTTAGTACATAAGGTCTCAACCTGCCTGTAGCTTACTGAACACATGCAGTTCTGATGGTTCCACAGATTTTGTTACCTTGAAGAAACTCACTAGACTACCTTGGTATCAGCTCCCTTTCATAAAAAACTTCCCTTTCAGATCTGTTTCATTCCCATATTATGCCTCCCAGAAAAATGTAAACTTTGTTATTATCTGTAATTCAATTCAACTGGTATAATCCAAAGATCTCAAAGCCCAAGATTATCACATCTTTTAGTTATTTAATCCACTTCTCTTTCTTGTCCCAAGTCATTCATTACTTAATCTGAGTCATGTAAATGGGAGACCCCCAGTGAATGGGGATTTTCCCTCAATCATGTCCTGTGATGGCTGTTTCTCATGAAATAAACTTGTAATGAAGGCTCCAGGAACTCAAAGCAGTAACAAGGTATGATCTACAAGAATAATTCTCTTATGTATTTTGCAACTTGGCAAACTAATTGTCATATGCAACTCAGTCACAAAATTTGAACAAATTGAATCAGATCTTACAGATGTTTGACTAACAGAGGGGTTCCCACTCCAGAGTTACTTACGTATGCACTTCTCCTTAGCACTTGTCCAGACTGAGTTTTCTAGGCAGATGATAGAAAATGGTTTTCCATAATAACCAGGGCGGCATTTAAACTTCAGATGTGTCCCAACGGGAAACTCAGATGCATCAGTTAGGTTGGTAGGCCTGGCAAATGGAAGCTGTTCCGGGGCATTGCATTGACCTGGAGATCAAGACCACAGCAGCATCAAAGTTAATGAAGAAATTACTATACTTTTTTTTTTTTTTTCTTTTTTGAGACAGAGACTGGCTCCATCACCCAGGCTGGAGTGCAGTGGCACTATCTTGGCTCACTACAACCTCCGCCTCTTGGGTTCAAGCAATTGTCCCTACCTCAGCTTCCTGAGTAGCTGGGATTACAGGTGCCCACCACCACACCTGGCTAATTTTCATATATTTAGTAGAGACGGGGTTTTACCATGTTGGCCAGGCTGGTCTCGACTCCTGACCTCAGGTCATCTGCCCACCTTAGCCTCCCAAAGTGTTCGGATTATAGGAGTGAGCCACCGTGACCCTGTTGAAATTCCCATTGTACTTTCTCTTTCTCTCCAATATACTACATAGATGTGATCAAAAAAGAAAAAGAACACTTTAGTAATAGCCAAGGGGTGCAGGAGTGGTGGCTCATGCCTGTAATTCTAGCACTTTCAGAGGCTAAGGTGGGTGGATCACTTGAGGTCAGGAGTTTGAGACCAGGCTGGCCAACATGGTGAAACCCTGTCTCTCCCGAAATACAAAAAGTTAGCAGAGCATGATTGCATGTGCCTGTGCACGTGCCTGTGCACAGCTACTCGGGAGGCTGAGGCAGGAAAATTGCTTGAACCCAGGAGGTAGAGGTTGCAGTGAATCAAGATTGTGCCACTGCACTCCAGCCTGGGTGACAGAGCAAGATTCCATCTTAATAATAATAATAATAATAATAGCAAAAGGACTGATTCCTTTAGAACAGTAGTCTCCAACCTTTTTAGCAACTGGGACTGGTTTTGTGGAAGATGATTTTTCCTGGAATGGAGGGTGCAGGGGAATGATTTTGAGATGAAACGGTTCCACTTAGATCATCAGGCATTAGGTTCTCATAGGGAGCACGCAACCTAGATCCCTCGTATGCACAGTTCACAATAGGGGTTTTGCTCCTATGAGAATCTAATGCTGCCACTGATCTGACAGGGGGTGGAGCTCAGACAGTAATGCTTGGCCGTTCATCTCTACTGTTCTGGTCAGTTCCTCACAGGCCACCGGACAGTACCGGTTCATGGCCCAGGGTTTGAGGAAACCTGCTTTAAAAGATGCGCCAGAAATAAGCTCCTTTTTAAAAAATCAGCTTCCATCCATTCAAAAAGTCTCTCCTAGTTTGAAGGAAACTAAGCTATTTATATCATCTTTCACTAAAGGAGGAGCTGCATTTCACAGCTTCAAAATTTAATCAGTAAGTGCCTGTGCTGTGGCTTCATCTCTCCCATCATCATGCATAATTCTTTCTTGTAAAGAGATCAGTCAGTGAATCCAATCTGTTAATATTTATTCAAATCTTCTAGATGCTTACTGATTTTGGGGGGACTACTTGTTTTACTAGATACTAAATGAGTTGTATTAAAATATTTTATTTATTGTACATTTGTCTATTTCTTTTTATAATGTCTATCTATTATGTTATATATTTTGAGGTTATCAGGATTATAAAAAGTTAAATTGCTATATTTTATGGTAGAGCAACCTTCTTATTATAATAAAATATCTCTATCTCTAGAAATGAATCTTGCCTAAAATTCTACTTTGTTTACTTTATTTGTGGGACAAATAAAAAATAAATAATGAGTTGGGAGATCTAGTCCCCAATATATAAATGCTTACTTTGAATATACAGTGGTCACCCACGTTATCTGTGGGGGACATGTTCCAAGACATTAGCCAACCTCAGATAGTACCAAACCTGATAGCTGTCAACTAGAACACATTTCTGTTCACATCTTCCACCCACAAATTTAATGCCTTTCCCCTCTTAACTAAGCACTTAGCATGCACTGTGGTTGTAACTTTTGCAGTTTGAAATGTGACCACAAAACTAGCACAGATTTATTTTTCCTTCTTCACAATTTCATCGTTAGAAGATTCCTTCTCACCTTAGGTCTTAGCAACTTTAACATACAATGTTTTTCTTTCCTTATTAAGTGGACAACTTTCACCTTTTCACTTAAAGGAAGCACTTGCTACTAAACTGGACCCTAGTGGTAATAAACTACCCTGTTAGGCTCAGCTGAAATTTTGAGAATCCATATGGCAAAGTGTGGTAGGCTAAGTAAGGACCTCTCAAAGATATCCATGTTCTGATCCCTGAAGCCTGTGAATGTTACCTGTAATGGTAAAAGGGCTTTGCAGATGTGATTAAGAATCTTGAGATGTACAGATTATCCTGGGTTATCTAGGTGGGCCTTAAATGTAATCACAAGGGTCCTCATAAAAGGGAGGTAAGAGGGTGAAAGGAGACAGAAGAAAGGTATTTAAAGACACTATGGTGCTGGTTTGGAAGGTAGAGGAAGGAGGCCATGAGCCAAAGGATGGAAGCAGACCCTGGAAACTGGAAAGGGCAAGAAAACCCCTTCTCCCATGGAGCCTCCACAAGGAACACAGCCCTATGGATCTATTTTAGACGTCAGTCTCCAGAACTGGAAGAGAATACATTTCTGTCGTCTTAAGCCACTAAGTTTGTGGAAATTTGTTACAGCAGCAATAGAAAACTAATACAAAAAGAGAATGGTATATAGTGTTAAAAATGTTGGGTTCATAGATTGAACTTTGAACCCAATGTCTTCTACTTAATGGCTATGAGGTCTTAGGCAAACTGCTTAATCTTGCTGAGCCTCAGTTTCATCTTCATAAAGGGAGTAATATTTTCCTACCAGATTTGTAGGAAGAATCAAAAGTAGTATATGCTCTCACATACACAGAAGCACTTCATAAGTTATACTTATGATTATTACCCTTAGAAAAGGCGGGAGACTTCTAAGAGTTAAATTTTATCATTCTGCTAAAGTGGGAGTGCTTGCTTTGCTTCCAAGAGTTTATTTTCTGCTCCTTTGCAGAGCTAGTTTAGAATGAGCCTATGTTGTTGGGAATGCACTGGATGACCTCAGTGATTGGGGACCTCAGCTCTCCTGAGTGAATGTGCCCCCGATTCAGCCTGGGACTTCTCTTCTGCATCTCATGAGCTCCATCATAGTGCCCACGGGATCCCGGACAGAGAGGAGAATTGCTAAGGTTGCCTTTTCCCTGTTGACAATGGCTTTAGTCAGAATTGGAAGCCTAACTCTGTGCTTTCTACTGAAGCAAAGGATGATGCTCCAAGAAAGCTCATATTTCTCACTTATTTTTCCCAGACAGCCTGTATCCATCATCACACATTTGCTTTATTAAGCCAGCAGTTGTTAAACAAGGATGCCCTTGTCTATGTTTCCTGCTTCATCTCGTGCCACTTGGTCCCCTCACCAAGGTGTGGCCCTTTCCCCTTTTTCAGTTTCCCGAAGACACACATTTTTCCCCTGTCTATGACATTCCTTCTGTGTGATGCACTTTTATCTTTGCTCTGACTTTGATTCTTCCTCGAGGTGTCTGCTAAAATGGTACTTATCGAAGCCTTCCCTGGCCTGTCTATGGCCATACCGCCCTGAACACACCCAATCTCATCTGAAGCCTTCTCTGACCCTCTTAGGGATTTGGCATTGTTTGTTATTACAATTTGTGCCTTTTATCTTTGTGGGCTTTTAGAAGGATCTATTTCTCTCAATAGATATTAGACATGAATAATTTAAAGGCAAGAGATGATGTGTTTTTTGTACCTCTAAATTAATACCTAGTCCTGGTGCTTAACACTTAATTATAAGCACTCAATGCATATTTGTTGCAAAGAACAACAAATGAAGAATTACTTATAAAACTTAAAAAAAATCAAGAATTCAAGCTATGTCCCCCAAATCTCTGATTTAGTTGGTCTAGTTTAGAGCCCAGGAGTCTACATTTTAAAACATTTTCACAGCTGATTTTGATAGATAACAGCACTTTGAGAACCACTGTAAAAAGAAAACAAAAAAACAAACAAACAAAAAAAAAACAAAAAAACTGAGTAAAACAGTTCCTGTTATTTTCAGTGTTATGCATTCACCTTTCCTCTAATTGATACATGGGATGAAATACAATTTCGATATTTGTCTTATCCATTGATGCTGGACAAAGGAAGAAATTCCAAGTGAAGCGCCTAGTGCCAAAAGCTGTATTAAGAGAGGGTAAATGTCACAGCAAAGCTTGCAACAAAAGGATAGAACAAGACCTAAAGTAACAAAACAAATTGAATGAACCATTCTTGGAAAGAAGTTCCTTCCCCTTACTTACATAATATTCTTACCTGCATAGTAGTATATGAATAGTGTAGGTAATTATAAAAAGTAAAGTTGTATAATAGCTCAAAAAAGGAATATATGAGCCTTCAACAAAGAAAGCTTGGTATAGTTTCCTTTCCCTCCTTTATTACCAATCCGTCAATTGCGGCTAGTTCCTATGTCCTATGATAAATATATTAATATAAACTCCATAAACTGAAGACCTACCATAATTTAAAAAAGTTTTTATAGCTTTATTAAGATATATTATATACAATTATTGATTAGTATTTAAAGTACACAATTCGATTACTTATATGTATGCATTGTGAAACCATCACCAAAATGAAGACAATAAACATTTCCATCATACACCCCACCCCCACAGAGTTCCCTCATGTCCTTCTGCAATCCATCCAAACATCCACTTCCTTCCCTAGGCAACCTCCAGCGTGTTTTCTCTTACTACAGATTGATTTGACTTTCTAAAATTTCGTATAACCCAAATCACCTCGTTTATATCCTATCGTATAAAGGAAATCACTCAGGTGCTTTTCTCTTACTACAGATTGATTTGACTTTCTAAAATTTCATATAACCTGAATCACTTCGTTTATATCCTATTGTATAAAGGAAATCACTCGGTTTTTTTTTTAAATGTTTTAGCCTTTATGCAACATAATTAGAGATCCATCTAGATTGCTGCACATATAAAAATTGTTTCCTTTTGTTGCTGAGTGATATTCATTGTATAAATATATCTTAATTTAGTTTATCCATCCACTTGTTCAGGGACATTTGGATTGTTTCCACTTGTTGGTTATTACAAACAAAACTGCTATGAAAATTCACGTACAAGTCTTTGTGTGGACATATGATTTCATTGCTCTTGGGTAAAAAACTAAGAGTAAAATGCTGAGTAACATGACAGGGTGTGTGTCTAAGGTTTTAAGAAGCTGTTGAACTATTTTCTGAAGTTAATGTTATAATTTTACCTGCCAAATAGCAGTATATTATAATTCCAGTTGCTCCACCTTATCACCAACACTTGGCTTAGTCAATCTTTTTAAAGTTAGCCATTCTAGTGGGTATATATTGTTATCTCCTTTTCGGTTTTGTCTTATATGACTCAGCCCACTTTCACATTCTCCTGGTTCAGATCTTCCATTCAAAGCAAGTTGATTTATTCTGTGCTATACACACAATTAACACATAATCACTTTCATGTCTGTTGAAATATGAGCTGTCAACCCAAAGAACACTCCTGCTTTCCATTCTGCACACTTACCCTTTAAGGAATAGACTTGCACTTGCTTTGCTTAGGCACCTCTTTCAGTTTAAAAAAAAAAAAGCATGCACTTTCAAAATATATAAATTTATAAATTATATATGTACTCAAGCATAAATTTTATGTCTCAATATAAATTTTTTGAAATGTAATACAGATAAAATAAATATTTTAAATGCCTTGTTAATCATTATGACTTAACACAATCATTAGCTAACATCTAATGGGACAAAAAACAGCCACAATGAGTTTCTCTGGTCACAGTAGTGAATGTAAAGCTGTATGTCAACTGTCTTCATGATACTTTCTAGATTTTTTGGTTTCATCAAGTTGTGATCAGCTGTGATTAGACTGACAGCATTTCTTCCTCTTAATGCCTCTGACAAAAAATGTGTATACATGTGTCTTTGCGGGGAGGGTGAGAGGGATTGTCAACTCTGCCATTTTCTTGTTTTCTGGAGTTGGTTTTATTACAGGGATCTTCACCCAGTATTTCTGTGTAGGACACTTTTGATGTTACCTGTCCAAATGTGAAGGTTATTTTAGATTAAAATAGATAATATAAATCATACATCCACTCATCTGAGCATATGTAAACCAAAATACATCACAGACCACAGAAAGCAAATTGGAACTTCCCTTCTATCTTGCACCTTTACCTAGCAGGGATAACCAAACCAGATCCTACATGAGGACCAGATGAGGGCGCCAGAGTTCACCCTATGCTAAACACTGCCTGGTAAAGCTTAATTTGCGTACTATTTTATGGCTCAGAATGTGGTCTATCCCCATGAATGTGAGCCGGAGAATATGTGTTCTGCTGTTGTTGGATAAAGTCACCTATATATGTCAGTTATATCCAAGTGGATTGATGGTGCTGTTGAGTTCAAGTATGTCCTTACGGATTTTCTGCCTGCTGAATCTGCCCATTTCTGATAAGGAGACTTCAGCACCTTTTCTGATATCAGAAAGATATCATAGAAGTCTCCAACTATGATAGTAAATCCATCTATTTCTCCTTGCAGTTCTATGGGTTTTGCCTCACATATTTTGTCTCTCTGTCAGGTGCATACCTATGGGATATTGTTATGTCTTCTTGGATAAGTGGCCCCTTTATCATTATATGATGCCCCTCTTTATCCCTAATAATTTTTCTTGGTCGGAAGTCTGCTGTGTTTGAAATTAACACAGTTACTCCTGCTTTCTATAACTAGCATTAGCATGGTATATCTTTATCCATTTACTTTTAATATATATCGTCTATATTTAAAATGGTCTTGTTGTACACAATATATTGTTGGGTCTTGTTTCTTGATCCACTCTGATGATCTCTGTTTCAAATGGTGCGTTTAGATCATTGGCACTCAAAATTATTGTTGATATAGTTGGTTTAGTGTTTGTTACTGGTTTCTATTTGTTGCCTTTGTTCTCTTGTTCTGTGTTTCTACTTTTTGTCTTCCATTCTTTTCCTGCCCTTTATTGTTTTATTGGTTTCCTTCCTTCCTCCTTCCCTCCCTCCCTCCCTTCTTTCTCCTTCCTTCCTTCCTTCCTTCCTTCCTTCCTTCCTTCCTTCCTTCCTCCATTCTTTCTCTTTTGATATGGAGTTGCGCTCTGTCACCCAGGCTGGAGTGCAATGGCATGATCTCCACTCACTGCAACCTCTGCCTCCCAGGTTCAAGCGATTCTCAAGCCTCATGCCTCAGCCTCCCGAGTAGCTGGGACTACAGGCACCCGCCATCATGCCTCGGTAATTTTTGTATTTTTGTAGAGACAGGGTTTCACTATGTTGGCCAGGCTGGTCTTGAATTCCTGACCTCAGGTGATCCACCCACCTCAACCTCCCAAAGTGCTGGGATTACAGGCATGAGCCACCGTTTCTGGCCCTCTTTATTGTTTTAACTGAGCATTTTATATGATGCAATTTTCTCTTCCTTATTCACATATAATTATCATTCTTTTTTTCACTTTTTTCAGTGGTTGTCCTACATTTGCAATATCTATTTGCAGCTAATCTAAGTCCTCTTTCAAATAGCCCTATACCACTTCACGGGTACTGTGAGTTAATCATAATAACAAAACAATCCTAGTTCCTCTGCTATGTTTTGTATAGAAATAAATATCCCCATAAACTGTCCTATGCAACCTGTTTCTGGATTCACTCTTTAAGTGCTAGTAAATCCATACACCTTTCACTCACACTTTCCTGATCATAGGAGCTAAGACTTCTCCCTTTTCAGTGATCCTGCAGTCTTGCATGACTTCTTAGTCATGATTTTTCAGACATGCATGGGGGTTTTCAGACTATAAAACACTGTCACATGCATTACACCATCTGATTTTCAAAATACCTCTTTCAGAGATCAGGATGTCAGTTATGCTCATTTTATACATGTGGACACTGAAGGTCAGTGATGTGACTTAACTTACTGGGTCCAAGACCCCAGCTGGTAAGTAGCAGAAGCTGGAAAAAGCCGAACACTGGCTTCCTAATAAGTAGATTTCATAAAACTCCACCACCTACTTCTACATGCATATACCTTGGGTGCATAGCTCTTATACTTCTTTAAAATTCTAAAGGACCGTGCACACTGGAAACATCCATCAGCATTTTAAAATTTAAATTATGTCAGCAAGAAAATTTCTAGGTAGTATAGTTTAGGCTGTTTCACATTTGGAGGTTATTGTGATAACCTCAGTAATTTTTTTTTTTTTTGCAATTAATAGTGTCTGGGATTGTTTATAACAGTAACTTAATCAACATAGGCAAACTAAAACAACATTCTAGTAAGAAGAGGGTCAGTACTCACAAGGATGACACAAATTCTTAAGCACTGACAACAGATTGCTTAACTTACTGGGCATGCTTCTCTCCTAAAAATAAAATTGTAAGTTTTATCATATCTCTTCACCTGACAGGTTACTTTCTGGTGCCTTAGGAGATCAAATATTAATAACAACTCTTGCGGGAACTTGGTTTTAATTTATTTTATTTTTTACTCTTTTAGAGAAGAAGGAACACTCAATAAAGAATGCAAAATGTCTAGTAGCAGAGAAGGGCGAACCTGGAGTTGTCAGAAGAGGCTGGACAGGAACAACCAAGACTGTCACTTCAATTGAGATGTTGCCAGTGAGTCTAGGCAAACAAGAAGACTTCTGGGGAGCCCAAAAATAATAATAGAAGGGTTCTAATTGAAGATGTTTACCTATGTGAAGTTAAGAAAAAGGAAGAGATGAGGCCTCAAAATTTCCATAGTAGTTATAATAGGTTTTATTTTGCACTAAACACATTCCTAAAATGCGAACTGTAAACATATCTGCTGTCCCTTCTACCTGCAGCGGTTACACTGCATGTTCTGGGGCTGCCCTTACTCCTCTAATCCCCAAGTGCCTGGCATGCATCTGTCTTAAAGTATGCTATCAATCAAGTGCAAGGGTGATGATGGCGGTGGTGGCTTGGGGTGGGGGACGAGGACAGTTCTATGCGGGGCAGTTGTCAGGTAATACCTGCATCCCTGGGACTGCTTGTCTAAACACCATTGGGAGCAAAGTGCAGAGGCAATGGTTGGGGGGATAGAAATGGACTTGGGGACAGGCCCTGTGTTAGACACTCGACAGGCTTTATGCCACTGAGGCAGCAACTCCACAATGCACAGAATCAATGTCCCCATTTTACAGAAGAGCAAACAGACTTAGGTGTGCTAAGCTGCCTCATAGTTAAGTTCCTAGGACCAGAACTCAGGTTTGTCGGATCCCCAAGTCCCCTTTCGCTAGGATCAACGCCATGCTCCGCTATAGCCAGCCTAGACTGTGAATACACAAATGCAAGGAATTTCATGCGACACCCGCTCAGCATCTGCGCCTTCCTCTGCGCTGGTCACGACTTAAGCCCCATGCACATGGGGACTCCATGCTTACCCAGAAGCAGCGAGGGTCTCCAGTGCGCAGAAGGATCCCAGACCCGCCGCCTTGCCGGCTCGCGCGCTCAGCCCACCCATAGCACTGCCTTCGGACCCGGGCGCGCAGCGCAGCGCTGCCCAGCGAGGCACGCGAGTTCCCTGCGGGACCCCGGGTGCCTCGTCCGCCCAGGCGCCTCCCCACGCCTGCCCGCGTCTCACCCCAGGCCACCGGCAGCGCGAGCAGCACCACAACCGCCAGCAGGGATCCTCCGCAGCAGAAGGGGAGACGCGGCCCCGGCGGCCCAACAGGCTCCGGGCTTCTTGGAGAAGAGGCCCCCATTCTCCCCAAGCACATCTACAAACCAGATTTGTTCTCGAAGAAAACTGAAATAAGAGGAAAAGAGCAGTACAAAGAGGAGTGACCAATCCTTGTGCTCCGCGCCCAGGATATGGGGAGGGCTGCGGGGTTCCGGGACAAAATGCTTTTGACCACAGCTTCCTCTTCATGGGCGAGGCCATGTTTACTCCCCATTTGCATTGTTTCTAAGGGGTTTCGCTGGCAGAGCCCACCTTGCGGACCCAGGTGCAGCAGCAGAGCTTGACAATGCTTGGACTTCCGATGGATCGCGCGTGCGAGGCTCTGCGCTTACAGACAAAGGTGGTGGATGACGGCAGCTCGCCTCCAAACACCCTGCTTGACTATTTCTCTTTGCAAGAATGTGTGTGGGAAGGTCAGCTAATGAAATGCCTGGTCTCTGTGTTGAAGGGCAATTGCAGGCTATGTGTACAGTGTACAGAGAATGTGAAGAACCAATTTCCTTATCGTGAATTGAGATGTCAGGCCATTGTAAGATTTTTAAAAAAGGGAGGGACTATCAGATATACATTTTAAAAATGTAAATCTGTGTATAGTATGGAAGGTAGATTAGAATAGGGCAGTAATGGAGAGGGGAGACCAGTCAGGGAGCTTTTGCTGACATCCAAGTGAGGTTTGATGGCGGCCCTGACTGGGTGGATAAAGTGGACAATTAACAAAGATTTTGGAGATGAAATGAACAGTTGCTTGTGTACTGGATATTGGTTACTTCCTTTCTTAAGGTTGGTGGTGAGAAGAAAGCAATCAAGAGTTAGCCCCAGGATTAGAAATGGATGGTGGTGCTACTTATTGAAATAAGAAATATGGATGTAGGAGTGACAGATTTAGGGTGACGGTTAAGTATTCAAGGATGAATTTATTCCTCCTATCTATCTGTGATCCTGTGCCTTTTAACCAATCTGTCTCTATCTCCCATTGTCTCTCCCTTCCCCAGCCTCTGGTAACCAGTACTCTACTCTCTACTTCTATGAGATGAGCTTTTTTAGAGTCCACATATGACTGGTATCATACAGGATTTGTCTTTCTGTGTGCACTGGTTTCCATTAGGCTTTCTCCCAAAATTCTAGTGGAAGAAATGTCTACTTTGATCATATCACTTATCACACTTTAATACATCCAGTGACATTCTTTTAAGGATTTGCTATCATCATTTCAAGTTATTCTCGACAGAGTAATGGGAGAAGCAGTCAGATTGTAGTAGGCTTAGGAAAAGAGAAGAGGAGAAGGCTCAGTTTCCCAGTTTTCCATCACATGCTATCAGAAGGTGCCACTCCTTACCACTTCTGCTGGTATCCATCTCCTAGTATCTACTTTCTCCCCTCATTCCTTGAAGGTTTTAGCTCCTGGCTCATGGCCACCTTCTCCACTATTACTTCTGCCACAGTCCCTGGTGATTTCAATATTCATAGCAATAGTATTTTCAAATCCCTGGCCTTAAAGTGCCTTGACCTCTTCTCTGCCTGTGGTCTTGTCCTCTACTCTCCTCTGACACTAACGCTCATGTGCATGCTCTAAAACTTGTCACCGTCACTGCAACCCTCAATGATTTCAGTGATCCCACTCTCTAACCACCAATCCTACTCTTCTCTTTTACCATTAAACTGAATCCAGCAATCTTTGTCTGTCTCAGTGCCTGCAGCCCATTGATCCTACCGCTCTCTCAGCCTCACCTCCTTCTTGTCTTCACTTTCATCACTACCAGGTTAAATTGCATACTCTGTCATTATAATCATCATCTTGCACCCACCATTAGCTCCCTCACCCTTCTCTTGCTTTATTATAGGCGTTAGACAAAACGACAATCCTGGTTAGAATCAATTCTCCATTATTTTGCTCCCATACCTGTGAAACTGAATGTGACTGGAAAAGACACAGAGATACAATGACTAGCCTTACTTTAGTAACAAAGAATTTCAAATGGACCATTGTACTGCTGCCTGACATTTCCACTATTGTTTGTCTAATCCATTTATTCTCCCATTCTCCTAAATGACTATTTCATATTTTTGACATTTATTTCTGACACCTTCTCCAACATTCCTAATCTCTGTGAATAGCTTTGTTTCTTTCTTTATTGAGAAAATAGAAACAATCAAATAGATCTACAATTTTCCACCATCGCTCCACCAAAATTCTTGTATTTGGCCCATGTAATCTCCTTCTCTCTTATTAGTGTATTTATACTGTCCACAGTCTAAGTCTAAGGGTGATCTCTCCACTTGTGCCCTAGATTCAGTTTGCTCTCACTCGCTCAAGGAAACCAGCAATTCTCACTTTCTCCAGCATTATCATACCCCTCTTTCTGCTGGATTTTTACCATCAGCATGCAAACAAATTATTTCTCCAAGTACAGCAGGTGTGTTTTTCTCTTCAGTTTTTTTCCTCCCATTTAAAAGTCCTTTGCCCAGATATCTGTCTGCATAGCTACTGCCTCATCTCCTTGAGTTATTTGGCTCAAATGAGACCTTCTTAATGGAGCCTTTCTTGGCCACTATTTAAAATTGCACATTAATTCAGAACTTCCTTTCCTTTTTGTTTGTTTTACATAGATTAAAAAATTATACTTATCATTTTTTCATTTTATTACCATCTGAAAATCTTATTGTGTGTCTCTCCCACTAGAATAAAAGCTGCCTGAGAACATGTCAGTTTACCACTGCCAAATCCCATGACCTAAAATAATGCTTAGCAGAGAGAAGGAGTTCTACAATTATTTCTTGAATGAATGACTACAATGGTTGAGACAACTAAGGTCAACCACTCTTTCTGAAAATTTGGTGGTAGACAGATAGTTTAAAAGAGAAACATAGATGGTTTGGGGGAAGATTTGTTTTCAGATGGAGGGGAAGGTGGATATCTGTTGCTCTAAATGTGTCCCTTCCTCTGGGATTTGCCCCTAGGTTTTTCCATTGAGAAATCCCCTTTTTCCCATAGTTCAGTGTGATTCTGGAAGACTGTGGTTTCTCAACCTCCATATTATTGACATCGTGGACCAGATAATTCTTCGTTCTGGAGGGTTGTCTTGTGCCTTAGAGAATGGGTAGCAGTAACCCTGGCCTCTACCCACTAGAGGCCAGAAGCACTTCCTTCCTCCAGTTGTAGTAACCAAAAATGTCTCTAGACACTGCCAAATGTCATTGGGAGGGCAAAATCATCCCACTTGAGAACCAGTGAGGTGGACCAACCCTACCCCCATCTCCAAGGCTGGGCAGGCAACTCAGGCCTTGCCCTGTGTTTATTTCACTGTCTTGCTCCTAGTTATTGCTTCCTTTGGGGACATGTAACCCTATTTGGAGAATGAGAGCTATTGAAGGGACTTTTGAAAGACTTATTGGACAAGAGAAGCTCTTTGTACTGGAAAGCTAATCTGATGAGACGTGCACTTCACATTGTAAGCAAATATTTTGCTGGTTTTTAGGGAGTTTCTTCCAGAGAATGAAGCCAGCAAGGTAAAGCAGAAGGAGAAGATATTCCTGAAGGCATGCTTTGACTATCCCTGTTTTGACAAGAGCCAACTACAGGCCTGGCCTTTTCTGTCATGTGATTTAGTAAAATTCATTTTTGGTTTAAGCCAGTGTGAGGTGGATTTCTGTCACATGCAGCTCAGCAGGTCTTGGCTTCAGGACTTTTAGAGGTGGAACGAAGGAGCCAGTGATGAGAGAGGGTCTAACTGAAGGAACAATGTCCTGGAAAAGACAGAAAGGGATGAGGAGAGAAAGATATAGGCTGTGAAAAGTGTAAGACAGACATGATGGTAAGGGTGAGTGGACGTAGATATGATGGAGGTTGAGAGAATTACCCTCGGATATTTTCATCATCCCTTAATAGAAGGAAGAAAGAATGAATGTAGAATAGATGGCTTGAGGAGAGTGAACAGACAACATGGGGAAATGAAAGTGTTGGTGACTGTACATGAATAAAAGATGCTGAAGAGTATCCTACTTCTGGATATGGATCCAAAAGAATTGAAAGCAATGTCTGAAAAGATATCTGTACACCCATGCTCACGGAAGCACTATTCACAATAGCAAAGAGGTGGAAACAACCTGATATGGTTTGGATCTGTGTCTGCACCAAATATCATGTCGAATTGTAATCTCCAGTGTTGGAGAGGGGCCTAGTGGGAGGTGACTGGATCATGAAGGTGGATTTCTCTTGAATGGATTAGCTTGGTACTGTATAGGGAGTGAGTTCTCACCAAATCTAGTAGTTTAAAAGTGTGTTGCACCTGCCCCCTCTCTCTCTTCCTCCTGCTCCCACCATATGGGATGCCTTTCTCCCCCTTTGCCTTCCTCCATGGTTTTGAGTTTCCCAAGGCCTCCCTAGAAGGCAGGAAGAAATCAGCATCATGTTTCCTGTACAGACCCTGGAACCATAAGCCAATTAAACCTCTTTTGTTTATAAATTACCAAGCTTCAGGTATTTCTAATACAGAAAATTGGTACCCAGGTTTGGGTCATTGCTATAAAGATACCTGAAAATGTGGCAGCAACCTTGGAATTAGGCAACAGGCAGAGGTTGGAAAAATATGGAGGGCTCAGAAGAAAGCTGTGTTCCCATCCAAATCTCATGTAGAATTGTAATCCCCAGTTGTTGGAGGTGGGACCTGCTAGGAGGTGATTGGATCATGAGGGTGGATCCTTCATGAATGGTTTAGCACCATACCCTTGGTGCTGTTCTAGTGTGTGGCACCTCCCCTCTCTCTCCCTTGCTCCTGCTTCTGCCATGTAAAAGATGCCTGGCTTCCCTCTTTACCTTCTGCCATAATTGTCTGTTTGCTGGGGGCCTCCCCAGAAGCTGAGCAGATGCAAGTATCATGCTTCTCATACAATCTGTGGAACTATGAGCCAATTAAAACTCTTTTCTTTATAAATTACTCAGTCTCAGGTATTTCTATATTGCAATATAAGAATAGACTAATACACAATCTAATGGCTACTGACAGATAAATGGATACACAAAATGTATAAACAAAATTGCATATACACCCAATGAATTTCTTTCTTTCCTTAAAAAGGAAATTCTGACACATGCTACAATATTAATGAACCTTGAGGACATTATACTAAATGAAATAAGTCAGTCACAAAAGACAGGCACTGTATGATTCCACTTACATGAGGTACTGAGAGTAGTCAAATTCATTGCGACAGAAAACAGAATGGTGGTTGCCAGGGGCTGAAGGGATGGGGGAATGTGGAGTTATTATATAATAAATACAGAGTCTTAGTTTTATAAGAGAAAAAGTTGTGGAGATCTGCT